TGCAAGGGTTGGTAGTGTTTGGGTAGCGAGAATGAAAGCCTTCGTCATCCTAATTAGAGAGCATTAAAATTGCGTCAAAGGGTCAAACATAATACCTTTTGACCGTATCTGCATTGACAGCCATTTTAGGATCATTTCCTTTGATGTCTCCCAAATACAGCGCTCCTTCCGGCAACAGTTTTGTTATAATGTATGGACCTTTCCAATTTGGAGCAAATTTTCCTTTTGCTTCCTCATTATGTAGGGAATACGCCTCAGAACGAGTTGCCCCACTTCAAAGTTTCTAGGCTGCACTTTCTTGTTGTAGGCTTGGGCCATTCTTTGTTGGTACAACTGCCCATGGAAAACTGCGGCCATCCGTTTTTCATCAATCATAGTTAATTGTTCCAACCGGGTCTTGACCCATTCATCATCCTCGATCTTGGCTTCGACAATGATTTGAAGAGAGGGAATTTTGACTTCTGCAGGTATTATGGCTTCAGTGCCATAAACCAATAAGGCGTGGCCCCAGCTGATGTGCGCATAGTTGTGAGATATCCTAATAATGCAAAAGGCAGCTTTTTATGCCACTGTCTAGACCTTTGAATCATTTTCCTGAGGATCTTCTTGATATTCTTGTTTGCAGCTTCAACAATGCCATTAGCTTTGGGCCGATAAGGGGTAGAGTTACGATGCGTAATCTTAAATTGTTCGCATACCTCCCTCATCAAGTGGCTGTTCAGATTTGCAGCATTGTCTGTAATGATAGTTTTAGGAATACCAAAACGATGAATAATGTTAGAATGCACGAAGTCCACCACCGCTGTCTTGGTGACGGCTTTGAAAGTGACTGCTTCAACCCACTTTGTGAAATAATCAATGGCAACCAAGATGAATATGTGCCCATTTGAAGCTTTCAACTCGATTGGCCAAATGACATCCATACCCCAGGCAACGAATGGCCAAGGTGCTGACATAGGATGCAATTCTGAAGGCGTTGCATGAATCAAGTCACCGTGTATCTGACATTGATGGCATTTTCGGACAAAACTAAAGAAATCCTTTTCCATGGTCATCCAGTAATAACCTTCCCGCAGGATTTTCTTTGCAAGGACGTATCCATTCATGTGGGGCCCACATACTCCCGAATGCACTTCATTCATGATCTTTTCAGCTTCTTGAGCATCTACACACCTCAAAAGATTCGGATCTAGATTTCTTTTGTACAAGACTTCTCCGCTAAAAAAAAAAACTACTGGCAAGCCTTCTAATGATTCTCTTTTGGTCTCCACTGGCTTGCTCTGGATATTCCTTTGTTTTCAAAAAACTTTTGATATCATGATACCGTGGCTGAACATCTGGTTCAATTTCAATTGTATTACAATAACCATGCCTTTCTCAAATTTGGATTTCCAGCGGATTAATATGGATATTGCCCGGATACGGCAGCATTGAGGCCAAAGTAGCTAGTGCATCAGCTAACTCATTGTGAAATCGAGGAATATACCTGAATTCGACTGAGTTGAACCGTTCGCTGAGATCTTCCACATGTTGCGTGTACGAGATGAGTTTGATATCTCGGATTTCCCACTCGCCCTGAGCTTGCCGGATAATCAAGTCAGAATCTCCCATGATTAACAATTCCTCAACATCCAGATCAACTCCCATGTTCATGCCCATGTGCAGGCTTCATACTCGGCAGCGTTGTTCGTACAGAAGAACCGAAGAAGGGTTGTGGCCAGGTAGTGCTGACCAGTGGGCGAAATCAAAATTGCCCCAATCCCGACACCTTTTGCTTTTACAGCTCCATCAAAGAACATTTTCCAAGCATTGGTGCCTTTTGGAATTACTCAACTGAATTTACTTCCTCGTTCAGAAAGTATGTACTTGGGGGTTGGTTTTCATCATCAACCGGGTTCTTAGCTAGATGATCTGCCAAGGCTTGAGCTTTCATCGCCTTGCAGGTGACATAGACAATGTCCAACTCAGTGAGCAGGATTTGCCATTTTGCTAATCTTACCGTGGGATTGGTTTCTGGAATATGTACTTCAGAGGATCCATTCTGGTTATGAGATATGTGGTGTAGGCCAAAATATAATATCTAAGCTTCTGGGCAACCCAAGTTAGGGCGTAGCAAGTTCATTCCAACAAAGTGTACTTGGCTATAACTAGTGAACTTCTTGCTCAGATAGTACATGGCTCGCTCTCTCTTCCCGGTCACATCATGTTGCCCTAGGACACAGCCGAAGGAATTTTCCAAGACTGTGAGATACAAGAATAACGGTCTTCCTGGCTCAGGTGGAACCAACACTGGCTGATTCGACAAATATTCTTTGATTTTATCAAAAGCCTCTTGATACTCATCTATCCATTTGATGGCTACGTCTTTCTTTAAAAGTTTTAATATGGGCTCACAAGTGGTAGTGAGCTGAGCAATGAACTTGCTGATGTAATTCAACCTTCTTAGTAGACTTATGACCTCTTTCTTGGTTTTCAGAGGTGGCAAATCCCGAATAGACTTTATGTTTGTTGGATCTAACTCGATACCCCTCCGGCTGACTATAAACCCCAGAAGTTTTCCAGACGGAATTCCAAATACACATTTAGCTGGGTTCAATTTCAAGTCATACCTGCACAAACGCTCAAAGAACTTTCTCAAATCCCGCACATGGTCTTCCTGCGTTCTGGATTTAATGATCACATCATCCACATACACCTCAATTTCTTGGGGCATCATGTCATAGAAGATGGCAGTCATAGCTTTCATGTAGGTTGCCCCGGCGTTCATCAAACCAAATGGCATGACCCTGTAACAGTAAGTGCCCCAAGGTGTGGTGAAAGCCGTCTTTTCTGCGTCTTCTTCATCCATCAGAACCTGGTGATACCCAGCATAACAATCCACGAAAGACTGTATCTCATGTTTGGCACAGTCGTCAACAAGAATGTGGATGTTTGGCAATGGAAAGTTGTCCTTGGGGCTTGCTTTGTTCTAATCCCGATGATCAACACACACTCGGGTTTTCCCGTTTTTCTTTGGCACTAGGACCATATTAGCCAACCATGTAGTGTATCGGACTACTCGGATCCACCAGCTTTCAATTGTTTGGTGACTTCTTTTTTGATCTTATTACTGATGTCCGTCTTAAACTTTCTCTGCTTTTGTTGGACAGGTGGATAACCGGGATAAGTTGGCAATTTATGCACTACCAAATAAACACTCAGTCCTGGCATATCATCATAGGACCATGCAAACACGTCTTTGAATTCAAACAAAAGTTGGATCAATGCAACTCTACTTCTTTCATCGGCGTGAATGCTTATCATGGTTTCCCGGACCTCTTCTGGACTACCCAAATTAACTGGATCGATTTCATTTAAGTTTGGCTTAGGCTTATTCTAAAATTGTTCCAATTCTCGATTTATTTCCCTTAAAGCCTTATCTTTATCATATTTTGGTTCTTGATTCACTATTTCACAATTAGACAGCATTTTAGGAACTGGGCATGAAGTCCGCAAGAATGCATGTAATTTAAGTCCGCATTATTAGAACTGAAAAGAACAAGATAAGAAAAATAGAAAAATTAGAATAAAGAAAAAGGAGACATCCATTGATGATGAAATATTAATTTCATTTCACTGAATTGATGATAGGAGGGTTTACATCGAAATCAAAACATGATAAAATAGAAACATTCGAGTTACACCCTGAAATAACTCGTAATGTAGAAAAGATGGCAAGATTGGACTATCGAGATTCCCGCCTGACAGGGAATGGGGTAGCCTTCCAATTCTGAAGCTTGGCATTTGGTCCCATGTAGAGCTCCTCAGCAGTGCTCGTGCCTACCCCCGGCTGGACCATGTGGGACTCGTACAATATTTTTTTTATGGCTTCACAAATATCCTCAATCTCTTCGGCCGTGAAGGCCTCTTCTTCTTCTTCTTCTTCTTCTTCTTCTTCTTCTTCTTCTTCTACATACTTGGATTTAACAAATGACTTGGCGAGATGCGGAACGGGCTGGGGCAGGACCCATCCATTTTTCTTGCGCTCATCAGCCCATCTTATATCGGCATTTGCTGCTTGAAAACCTACGCTGAAGAACTTCTCATTGGCGGTCGAAGTGATGGGCTCGTGATGCCTTGTAGAGATACCCCGAGCCCCTTTCCGGGCTTGTACCCATGTTTGATCATTTCATTGGCGACCATGACCGATGCATTAGATAAGCAAGGTTGAGGGAACGGGGCCCCTTCTTCGCATTGGTCGGCGACCACTTGGTTTTAGTGAGCAGCAAAACTCTACAAATAGAGACGCTTCCTCCTTATTGTAAGTACACCAAAATAAGAGAGAAGCAATAGAAGTTAGAGGGAGTAATCCACAGATTGTAATTTGTGAGATAAATAGTGAGTGTGAGTAATATTCTATTGAGGTGTTAATTAAAATAATGAGTTTTATTTCTTTTGAAGTTGTAGTAGTCCCTTAACACTATAAGTTGTTACATTATAGTGGTAATATTGCTCTGCTCGGGTATTGTATTTTAACTCGTTAAAAGAGATAATTGGTGTTGTTGTTACTCTCTTGTGTTATTGTTGTTTGCCGTGGATATAATTCCTGGGCGGGATTGTTATTTTTCCCAACAATATGAAGTAAGGCATCAAAAAGAAAATATGTTGGAAATATATTCTCGTTGTTTCTCTCCGTTATTAACTCTGTCTATTTAAATAATTAAAACCATTCATTGTAGCCAAGTTCCTCAAGGTTAAAGTGATCAACATGGACCAAACGGAATTGCTTCTGATTTGGTAACATAAATAATGAATTTAAACCGTAAAATATCAAAAGAAAAAAAGGGACAATCAATGCAAGTGAGCTTGGAATTCTCATCTTGTTCAAAGTGTTTTATTCAACTCAGCTTCCTTAATTACATCATAAACCACAACTAACTGTCTCAAACAAAGACAGATCCAACAAATTAAATGCTTCTTTCTTCCTTTTATAATTAGAGAGGAAAAAAACAGGAAGCTAACTAGTTAGCCAGAAGATCATAACGACAGATAGGGCAAGAATGACCACTCTTTAACCAGGTTGTAATGCAATCTGGATGAAACATATGTGAGCAAGGCATGCACAGCAACTCTCTCCCCTGTCGAAGCTTTTCAAAGCAGATGACACAGTCATCATTCGGAATATTATCACCAACGTCGATACCGATCCTCTTTAGCAAATGCAACATGGATGACGTAGAAGCAGGTACCATCGCATTGAAGCTCGATAATTCTTCTGAGAAAATCTCCGTATCACGATAATGGTCAATAGCTAAAGCTACACCAACGATCACCTTCACTACGAAGCGACGTTTGTTGGACTCATTATCAACAATTTTGCTTACTTTGCCTATCATATCATGAATGATATTGTGACGATAATTATTCTCAAACTCCTCGCCCCAATTCTCAAGATTTTCTTGCATGACACTGTAGAAGTTGTCATATGACATGTATACAGAAGGGTCAAGTTTGAGAAGAAGTGATTTTACATGAATTTGACCATATTGGAATTGAGCACGCTCATGAGGCGGTCTATACCAATATTGGTCTTTAGTAAGAAGATTAAATTGAAGGGATAGTAACGGGGGTAAACAACAAAGAGAAATATTATTTCTTGATCTTTCTAATTGCCGAATTATGACGCTAGCAACGGAGGAGTGATGGCGGTATCGGAAAAGACTCGCCATATAGTTGAGATGGGAAACGAGGTGGTCTCAACCTGTATTTATACTAGTTGAGATCCTAGACCAACTCAACTTAGGAATCTGAATTTGACACGGAAAAGGTTAGTTTGTTCTGTCCTATAAATGACCCAAATAAAAATAAAACTTAAATCAATACCATTTCCCTATGGAAGAAGGATTAACATAAATAAGTTGAAATAGACTAACATAAAAATAAGGAACAACAGATCCGGACAAAAGCAATTCAAAATAGAACTATACAACAGCCTTCATTCCAGTCCACCCGGCCGCTCGCTCCACTCTCTTGTTTTGGTTGCCGGCACTGCGTCCAAAACTCACAAAACAGATTCAAAACTCATATTTCCTATTTGCTTCGACTAAAAATAAAAAAGGGAGGGGGCAAGGAGGAGGAAGAGTGCAGAACTAAATTGGCATTTTAGACTCAAAGCACTAAAATAGGTACAAAAAAAAGATAAAAAATAAAACTGGTAACCTTTTTATATATAGCTCATGAAATTCATGCACTATAACTAGTGCATGTATTTAATGCGCTATACCTACCTGAATGTGAAAAGACAGTCAAGTATAGCGCATCTAATATATGCGATATACCTATTTAAAAAAGGCCAATACCTCTTTCTTCACGACAGAACTCACTCCAAAACGGTTCCGTTAAGTTATAGCACATGAATTTCATGCGCTATACCTGATTTTGAAAAGGCGGTCAAAGTCTTGGTATAACGCATATATTACATGCGCTATACCCAAATGTGAAAAGATAGACAAGTACATCGCATTTAGTATATGCGCTATACCTATTAGAAAAAGGCCAGCCTCCTCCTTCACAACAGAACCCACTCCAAAAGCCCCTCCCGTCCCCCCAATTTTTAAAAGCTAAAAACTCCATTGCAGCCCAACCCTTCCCCGAAATCTTTTCCCATGATTATTTTATCGGTCTAACACTTGATTCAAGGCGTTGTCATGGAGTGGAACTCTTTTATTGCCGATTCGCTAATCAAATCTTCATTGTTTCTCCATTCAAAAAATTCGAAAAAGAGGTATTCAGAATCACTTTTTTTGTATAAGTCATGTATATAATTGAGTAATTTGTTGTTATTACAGTATTGTATGCTTTTTGTGAGTTTTTTGTGATTTTTTTTTTTTGAATTTTTATCCGGATTAGTTTATTTATGTGAAAAAAATTATGAAAATTGTATATTGTTCCTTTGTTGAATAATTAGTTTTATATGTTTACTGTTTTTATAGTTGTACATACAATAATATGTGACTTTAGTATTATTTAGTGTCATTTAGTGTTATGCAGTGTCCTTTAGTGTAGTAGAACTGATAATAAATTTTAATTTATGTTAGTTGATGTTATTTATGGCCACTTAGAGTAGTGTGCCTTTAGTGCTCTTTAGTATTCTTTAGTGTAGAATAAAAATTATGTCCTCATTAACTAACCCAGTTAGAGTATTCAATTATGGATCAAAATTTTATCAAATATTAAGTGTATGATAAATGTATTATTAGATAAGAATCAAAAATTAGTTATGAATCATAAAATAATTAGTTGGCGGTACAAAAGAGACATTGCCCTATTTTTGTGTAAAATATAACAAATTAACATACAAATCATTATGAATGAAATAAATACTTAATAGTAAATTTTTAAAAATAATATCAAATAGTTAAAAAAAATAAGTATTTAGTATTATTATAATGAGGAATAAGATTGTTAAAAAATTGACAGTACGTAAAAGAGATTGTGTGTTTTTGTTTGTTTAAAAGTATTAAATTAAGACATAAATCGTTATGAACGCAAGAAAAGCTAATAGTATTTTTAATATAAATTTTTTTTAAAAATATTGAGATCAGTTAAATGAATAAAATATTTAATTTTCTTATAACAACGAATAAATATGAAAAAAAAGTTTATAGTTCAAACAAAACCCTGTCAAATTTTAGTCCAAAAGTCTAAAAAACTAACATAAATAAATATTTTATTTATGAACGTATGTAATAATATAAAAAATTTATCGGTTAAATATAAATATAATAAATATCGTAATATATTTAATGATGTTAAATGATTAATTAAAGAGAAAAATACTTTAATTAATATTATTCAATTTACAGACATCGTCACGGACCCTCCGTCTATGCATCCTGGACCTGTTGTTCCAGAGTTGCTATTGCTCCAGGGTGACCATAGGTTTTCACACATCTGGGATGAACAGTTTCTGTCCAGACCTTCCACCCCAGACATATAGACGATCTTTGGGAGTTCATTAGGGACCAAACACTTCATCCCCGTACAGTTACATGCCTTCAACGGACGGGGTTTTACCGAGTTTTAGAGATCAGCCGGTTGCAGTTCGACTGGCCCTTGATCACGGCTATGATCGAGCCGTGGAGACCGGAGACTCACATATTTCATCTACCTATCAGCGAGGCTATCATCACGCTATAGGACGTGGAGGTTATATTTGGGTTGCCCGTTGATGGTATGGCTGTCAGTTACCTACAGGCTCTTAAGGATTATACGAGAGTCAACTATCTACATATGTTATAGAGGTTCACCGAATTCCAGCCTGCGGAGCTGGCTACCATGAGCGGTTTTAGTCGATTGCAGCTGTCGCCCGTTAGGCAGCATCTAGAGGCGCTGCACGTGGAGATCGCGTATGACTCACCATTAGAGGCAATTGAGCGGCAGGCGAGGTTGTTGTTATTGACGATGTTTGGTGGTATTATTTTCCCAAACACTTCGGGAAATCTTGTTAGCCTGCGATTTTTGCATCATCTGAAGCGGCTAGATGAGTTACCTACGTACAACTAGGGTGGAGCTGTTCTGGCCTACCTTTATAGGCAGTTGTGCAGGGCGTCCATGGGCACCGTGAAAGACATCGTCGGTTTTATTTCGCTACTGCAGGTGATAACATTATCAATTTTTTCATGATTATAACAGAGATAGTACAAAATTACTCAAATTTATGTCCACATTCAATATTAGGTTTGGGCTTGGGAGCGGTTCTTGCAGATCCAACCCCCTCTCCCACTGATAGCTCCAGGTACACCACTTCCATCGTTTCTACCACTTTCTAGGAGGTGGGTAGATAGGCGAGGCCACGCCCGCGATGTCAATGCTCGACATCATCTCCATTATTACAGGGATCTATTGGATTTACTTGAAGGCGTTCAGGTAAATATATGACTAAGTTTGTTTGATAATATTTGATCTGTCTTGTGTTTACTCACGATTCTTGCATTTAATAATTAGTTCATATGGAGGTCATGCAGCGACGAGCTCATCGCTGGATTGCCAGATTATTGCTCCCGCGGTCGAGTTGTGTGGATGTCTTCAGTCCCACTTATATGTCTCAATATAGTCGAGCATCATGCCATCAAGCGAGTCCTGCGACAGTTTGATCGACGCCAGCTTATACATATTCCTCCCAGTTCGCATGCCACATATTACGAGCGGGATGATCGCAGCAAGGTCGCCTAGACATACTTAGCCTGGCTAGAGGCTCAGATAGAGGATTGAGATCAGAGATATGGCCTGATTCCGCCATACCCTCCACATGACCGAGTTGACGGGGAGCATGAGTACATGGGTTGGTATCCCCGTGTTACTCGCATTCTGATTGGGAATTCCGTTCATCATGATGATGGTCGATACGTTCTACACGCCGGGATGCATGAGGCACTGGTATGTTATTTGATATACTTACTTACCATGTTACATTACTTTAACATCTTTTCTTAATTAATATGTTATATACTATGCAGACTATTGGCTTACACCATTTCTGTGAGCGTTACTGTGTTAAAACACAAAATCAGGAAAACAAAACTGTTAGAAGAATTAAAAAAATCTGGAAAAATAGTAGAGTTTAAGAAATATTCCGAGTCCACAATTTGCTTGTGTGTCCTTAAGGAATTTTAACCCCCTCACACGTTGCCAAGGTAATGGATTAAATCCTCCCAGGATAAAACGGAATAAACCTTCCTGCAACAGTGGCAATACAAACTGCAGGATACCAACGAACTTAAAGAACGGAGCAAAATCACACTTACGAATTTGAGAGAGAGAGACCGCGAATTAGAATGCAGTATATTCAGAAAGAAAGAAGTTCTGGAATGTTTTTCGTATATAGAAAATGGAGCCTTGCCTCAGAATTTATAGGCAATTATCAGAAGAGGTGTCTGGAAAAGGTGCCTTTTCAGAAGAATACGCTGTCTGTCGCGGTTCTACCGCGGTCGCGGCAGAACCGCGGTCAGAGGAGCCTTCTGAACCTGCCTGCCGCGGTTCTACCGCGGTCGCGGCAAAACCGCGGTCAGAGGGGCTTTCTGAACCTTCAGCAGCAGGGTTCTGGCGTATTTTCAGCAGTGATTTGGCATTTAATTAATTATTAAATAATTAAATAAATTTTGTCCAAAAAATAATCTTATCGATCCGAAGCCGAAGCCGAAGCCGAGCCGAGCGACGACGGCGCGAGGGTTCATTCTCTTCAACTCATTTTATGAGCTTTAAGAAGTGATTCTATATATAAGCACACAAATGTGGTTGTCCCTCACCAATGAGGGACAAAGTGCAAGACAAAAGTTCACTTCTTCAAATTTTCAATTTCCCTCCATTTTATTTCCCTCCATTTCCAATTCACACTTCTTCTACTTTAAAGCCCAATGGCTTAAAGTCCAACAATTTCTACCGGATGGGACCGGAGATGCTACAGTATGCTGGCAACGGAGTGTCAGTTGTGTTCGGGTTTGGTCGTCGGGTTGCTGATCTTGTTGCTTACACATTGAGAGCTGCCCGACAGCGCACTACCAATTTTGAGTTGTTCTTTGCCTTCTAGCAATAATTTTAGCTAATTTTTATAATTAATTTCAACGAAGTGGCATTCACTTTGTATAGCTACGTCTTTTTAGTGATAAATAAACATGCTTATTGGAGATTATGCCCTATGCAATCTTGATAAAAGACTTACTAATTACAA